ATAAACGATTCATAATATTAATACTTTTTTCTTCGAGATCTCGTATGCTTATGTCGGCATTTGCATTGAGTAATGTCTGTACAGCTTCTATAAAACCGCGTTTAGCAGCATGCATCAGCGGTGTCTGACGCTAAAAAAAACTGTAATAATACTTTATTCGACAAATACATGCATCATTCACACCTTAAAATCAGTAATATCTGGGTGTGCATGAAGATCAAGAAGAAATTGTATCATAATTTCATCATTTCTCTTTACAGCAACTAATAATGGTGTTTCACCTGTAACATATAGCAATAAAATCATCTCAGTATTTATTCATACTCATATATAGTTACCATCAGTTGGATCATTATAATTTATAACTCCATTTAGACCTTTTTCACAAATACGTCGTATTTGATCATAGTTCGATGTTCGTACAGCATGTAGAAGTTTTTTAATTTGTGCTAACTCAACTGCAGTATGTGCAATGACCATAATCAAAATAGATAAAGAATGAACGCGCGCAAGTTATATTCTATTATAATCTTACCTGCGAGTAAGAAATAACATTGATTCTGTATTAATTACGTTAAGATTTTATAATGACTAAAATTTATTGAATTGTTATTTACAAACAAGTTATCATTATACGATTAACTGTTTTAGAATATTTAGTTTTAGTTTGAAACTTTCGAAAGTGGGTGTAGTCTTGATACCGTATCTACATCCTCACCTACACCCGACTATCTTGAGGTTGGATAAGATTTGTGATAATTCATGAAAGAATGTTACATGATAGATAGTTGTATTTGGCGTATAAGGAGGGTAAGGATTCCATCATCGAGATTCTTCAGTATTTCGGTAAATAATTTTATTTGAAGAATTTTTTTCATTTGTTCAATTATTGCTTCTGAATTCTTATTATATATAAATAAAGTATTTAGATTTGATCAAAAATAAATGAGTTTTAAGAAAGATTTATTCTTGTCAGCATGCGAAGACTTCTTAGAGAAATCAAGTTCAAATGTTTTTAGGTGCGAAAATGTTTCGAAGTCGTATGGTTTAAGCATAGTTTTAAGAGTATTTCTAGTATCGATGAAAAGTGAGTTGCACTTGTGGGTGTAAGTTTGAGTCTGGGTGTATCTTTTTTATCCTACTCACACCCATCAGCACTTTGTTTGTTCAGTCTTTCAGAAATATAAGAGCATGGGTGTGAGTACACAAATGACAACTGCTGACCTTTACGTCCACAGTAACAGTTACACCTACACTCTTTGAGGTAGTCGATGGTGTTGGCATCGAAGAGCTTCATTCTCTGCAAAAGGAAAAAATGACAGAAAAACAGAGGCATACAATGTTTGGCAATGGTTATATTATTCTTTACTGAAACAAAATTCTATGCAAAGAGAAAATAATTATTTACAGGCACAATCGACTACTCTCTCATCATCTAGACACACATGCATTTTTTCCGCGAATAAGAAAAAACACCTTAAGAAGGGAAAGAAATGTTCTTTTTCTTTAAATGAGTTTTATCAGGTTTTTTCATTCTTACATTTACAGTTCATGGGCAGAGTTTGTTTGATTTAGTGAGATTAAATGCTAGTAGCTGGTGGATACTGCGCTGAAAGACTTGATGAGATTAACCGATTAGTTACAGCAGCTTTGGTTTAAATGGTTCAGAGTCTTGAAAAACCAGAGTTTCTAAAAAATACCGTCTCAGTAGCGGCAGGTTTTTATAACGACGCAGCGCGATAGCTTTTTTTCACTGTCATCGCGGCGCGGTTGCTTTTTTTTACGATAGTCGCAGCGCCGTTGCTTTTTTTTTAAGATAGTCGCAATGCGGTAGCGGCATATTCTCAACCGCGATGGTCGTTCCTGGTAGAAAGAGGAAGGAAGAGACAGAATAGAAAAAAACGACAACACAATATTTTCATGTCAATATTTTGAAAGACAAATAAATAATAGCAGAAGAAGCAGTTGAATTTCATTTCTACTCATTTTTTTTGTTACAAGTAAGTGTTAGCGCCATAGCAGCTACTGTAGTGATGGGAGTACAAAGAATATTGACACATCCAGTGAAAGTTAGAGACATACTTGAACAGCCCGATATCTAATTGATGGTAAGTTTATTAGAATAGCAGATTGAAGCTATAGTATTAGATAAAACTTAGGATCCTCGAGTCTGATAAAGCGAGAATCGGTGTCAATAAAAGAAGAACTGAAGTGAATATAAGAAAACCATCTATTCGATCGATGTAGGTGTGGGTGTGGATGTCTTCTTTATATACACCCACACTCACACTATCACCCACAACCTCACACACACTCACATCCACACCCTCAAGATGCGTAATTACTTAAAGGTATGCAACACTTTAAACCTCTCGTTCTCTTGTTAATGTGTCCTTGCGTCGATGCAAAATGTAGCCTTGTCACCGAAAAAGATTGTAAACAGAAGAAAAACGTGCATCTGAAACAAAAAAAAACAATCTATGTTATCTCTTTTAGAAGTAAATCGCGTCAGTTGACAAACAAATCAAAGAATGGCAGCAAAAGACGTTTATTCTGATGGAACAGAAAACAAGCACGATCGTTTTCTAGATGTTGGGCAAGAGCCTCGTCGAATGTTACAACCAATTGAAGGGTATCAAAAAATGCCACTTGTTTCTTTGGAGACAGCTGTAGAACCCATTGTTTTCTGTTGTCCCGATATTTATCGACGTGTTTTTATTGCCATGTCTAACTGTGAAAATCCAGCCGATGGATTAGATCAAAATGAATCAGCTTCGATTTTTCTATATACCATGGAATGGGAACCGCAAGAAGAATGTCTTTATCATGTTCTGAACAAAACATTACGAACGGAAAATCGACAAAAACTTCGACCTTGGTATTCTTATTTAAAATTGGTTCTTACCGCTCTACAAAAGCTCCCAGCAGAAAAACAAACCATATGGCGAGGTGTTACTCTTGATCTTAGCCAACAATACGAAGTTGGAAAACGTTATGTATGGTGGGCATTTTCCTCATGCACTCGATCGCTCGCTATTCTTGAATCTGAGCAATTTCTTGGCAAGCGTGGATCGAGAACCTTATTCAGCATCGAATGTCAAAATGGGAAAAAGATTCGATCGCATTCGTATATCGACGTCGAAGACGAAATTCTTCTTTTACCTGCAACGCAATTTGAAGTTATTAGCAAACTGAACCCTTCATCTGATCTGCATATTATTCATTTGAAACAAGTCGACCCACCATTTTCTCTTATTGAATTACCTCCTATAGGAATAACTTTACAGGTAACATCTCAAACCAAGACGAAGGTAATACAATCATCTAACAATTACAGAAACGAAAAGCTCGAAGAATTGATCGCTCAATGTCCGGTTAATAAAACAGTGAATTTAGATAGCCAAGAATTGACGGACAATGACATTTCAATCATCATACAGCAAGCTATTATCGATAAGAAATGTTCGTATCTCAGTATCAATGAAAATATGATTACCGACAACGGAATTATCCTTCTGGCAAAAGCAATTGAGTCGAACATGTCGTTAAGTATATTAACTTTGGGAAGCAACCAAATTACGGATGTTGGTGTTCATCATATTGCACAAGCGCTGCATTCTAATGCAAGACTCGTTTTTCTGAATCTCGGTCATAATCAAATCACTGAGAACGGGGCTCGATTTCTCTCTGAATCTTTACAAGCGAACGCAACATTAAAGCAACTCCGGATTTCTTACACTTCGATTGGTGATAAAGGTATTCAATATCTTGCTAATACTCTAGTCCAAAATTCAACTCTAGAAACTCTGTCACTTGCCGCCAATGGACTAACTGACAATGGAGTTACAAATCTGGTGAAGATGCTTAAACATAATACAACTCTTATTGAAATCGATGTTGATCACAATCCTGTAACAGATAGTGGAATTAAGCTCATATTAGATGCTTTGTGTAATAATAATGTTCTTCAAAAGCTGCATATTCAGTGCGAGCAAATGACAAATAAATCCATCAGAGATATTGAGAACATGCTGAAGCTAAATGACACATTAACTGATTTGTATGTATTGCAAAAGACCTTCACAATTGAAGAACAACAAAAAATTCAAAAGATGCTATCAACAAAGCAAAACCGACAAATTCACTTCGACGAAGCATAACAACTAAACTGAGTGATAAAACGTTTCCTCGCTGAATCGATGAAAACTGTCATATTTTAATAAAAAAAGATATTAACTAAACTCCATCTACGAGATTTGATTTGGAGTAATATCTCGAAGTGATACTGTATAGCGGTTGTTGAAAAAGAGTCATAATTGATAAAAGATAGATCATTATTTGTACAACTGACTGAATATAAATATAGGTGTAAAGAATATTAATCATTCTTTGTTACCAACCACATGTATTCGAATGATAATGAGTTCAACAAGTGATGATAACATATGAATAATCGCTCTCAAATGAATATCAGAAATGGATAATATGTTGAAACAAATCTATTTTTTCCAACGAAACTCTTTTGTCAAATAGTTTGATCAGTTTAATTGTTGTATTTTAGAAAGTGGATATATTTTCAGGTTTTTGTTATGTGCATAATTTTATAAACGGATGATAGATTCAGCAAAGAAACAAGACATACTGTGGAAAAATTACTACTACGTATTTGTAAATAAATAAATGAAAACGAAAACTATAGTTACGCCTATGAACGAAATTTATTTGAATCAATAATATATATCTCTCAAACAAATTGATATCATAGGTGACAAAAATAACCTACACGAAGATGAATGAAAAAAAGTGTTTGGTTAGTTGATTGTTTTTGTAGGATAATATGCCACATTATTCCCGATGTTCATTGTTAAAAAATCTCTGTTATTCAATGCTTCATTTGCAGTGATATTTTCTGAAACACTACGGAAAATAAAAAAACGTTCTGATGTTTATTCTAAAGAAGTTGAATAATTCTATCGTTGATCTTTGGTAAGGATATTCTCTTGAAAGAATATGTTAAAAACATGACTAAGATGAACAAGATTTATCGTTTTTTCCGTTGGTCTTCTCTAATTCATTTTCTCTGAAAGAATTATTTCATAATAAATATTAAAAAATCTTGAGGATGCCAATATGACTTTGATATTCATCACCACACCCACATCCGCACCCTAATAGATCGAATTGTTCTACCAAAAACTCATTTATTTGAAAGTTTTCTGGAATCTCTTTGGATTCTGTATTTCAGACACTTTATATTTTCACTTGTCTATTAATACTTATATAAACCTATCAGTGATTTAAAGGAAGACTATAGTCGTCTTATAAACTATCAAATGACTGATGCAGTGTCGCTACTCATCAGTCAATAAAATATAAAAGGTGGAGAATATTATCGAATCACTTTCATATTGAAAAAGACAACAAATGATTTCTACCATTTTTTAGTATTGCATTAGATTTTTTCAGAATATTTAAATTGT